GCTTTGATGATGAAGGAGGGGACTGTGTTTGGTCCAGTTGCATAATGGAGCTTCTAATTCATCAGAAGTTTCAAATGTATGTACACCTTTCCAATCAAGTTTGATGGATGCCATGGTAGGAACACTGCAGTGAAAGCTGATTCAAACTGTGGATTCAGTATGTTGGTTTTTTACTGGGCGTCACTCTTGTTTTTGAGCGGTGCTACTCAAGTGGCTTCTTGGCCTTTACTCTTGATGTAAGTCCAAAATTTCTTGGAGTCTTCCTTTTAGTCACTGCTGATCGTGGTTTCAAGGTAATTATGTAGCTTCTTGTAAAGGTCCTTGTCTTGATTCTTCTTAGTAAGGCGGGCCTTCTTGTAAGCCCTCTGTTACCGTCTGATGGCTCTATTTATATCTGTGTTTATCCAGAGATTTGTGTATTGAGAAGTCGTCATCTAAGAGGGGACTCTTTTGGCGATGGTCTGCCCTTTGGGGTTCTCCCATGTTATATCAACGTTTACTTATTACTTATACCATGTACTATTTTATCACTGTCATATTTACGGTTATCACTAGTGAGTGAGTCGTGGGGCGACAGACTGTACAAATGTTCTGTCGATTCTCACAAAATAGGTGGAATTGGCAGGCAGGCAGGCAGGCAGGCAGGCAGGCCTTGAGATTCTGTACCAATTCTTATCCTCTCGTTCAGAAGTATTTATGCCTATCAATGAACTGAAATGCCAGGGAATTAGCCCAGTCCCAAATAATTAAAAGCTCAGTTATATGTTGCTTTCGGACATTTTTTCGCTTACGGCGCTCAATTCTATTATGGCATCATTCTTCCACTCCTCTGTGATCTTATACTATCTCATCACTATTATATTCAGGGTTATAGTGAACCGCCCAGTTGGTACCAGTAGGTCGTGGGTCGACAGACTGTACTACTGCTGTACTGTCAACTCTCACAAATTAGGTGGAATTGACAGGCAGATCTCGAGATTCTGTTGCATTGACTGCCATTTCTGATCCTCTCGTTAACAAGAATTTCCTCCCCAGCAATGATCTCAAAAGCCAGGATATTGACTGAAATTGTCCAAATTCCCCCCCCCTCCCCTTCAGGTTACTCAGTGTTATAGTCTGCCCCTAAGGTTCACGAAAGATTACTAACAACATCAATAATAATCATAATATGACATAAACTTTATGGCAATTTAAATAAAACTGCTTTCTGGTGAGATAAAGATCGGCGAACACCTATATTGGCAATAGGGTCTATGTTCTACCGGTACACCCAGTATTACAGCCAGTGTCTTGTTGATATTCATTGTGGGGTGGGATTATGGATGGCACGGTACATTGCCCCCCCCCCACCCAATTCACAACTTCTTGGTCGGCTACCAGGCTTACCTTGAGCCTCTATGTAAGTGTAACGGTAAATGTTATACAAACGATAATGTTGTATAGCCCAGCAAACTGACATTGGCGCTTATTTTTGCAATCAGTTAATAAAAAGCACCCCATGTCTATAAATCATATAAACAGCATCGTGCGCGTCATTCTAACTCATTTTCCAGGACATCTGGTCATTGAGGGTTGGGATCGCAAAACATGCACATACAAAATATGTCAGTAAGTGATGAAGTAGTACAGAGTTACGAATATACGTAAATTTGGGTTCCCGTCAACATGTTTTGGGGTAGGGGATTCCCTGAAAATGGTATAAGGAACCACTTAACACCCCTGGACATATCTTCAAATGAAAGAATGACTCCCAAAACAATAATTTAGACACCAAAATTGCTATTTTATGACAAAACAGTGCAGAGTTATGCCCCTTTGTAAATTTGGAATCTGGGCAGCATGTTTCTGGAGTAATCAAATCCCCGAAAACGGTTCAAGAGAGCACCAGACAAATATGAAAACCATACCATATAAAAGTTTGACCCTGACAACCTACTGCATGGTTTCGTGCGTTTCTCTTAAAAATTGACGACTTTGATCTGTTTTTATCGTCTGGACTAAAATTAATGCTCCCTGATAGGGACGATGGGCACACGACGTCATAAATCTACGTTGATATAAGCGGCTGATGCATTCGGAGTTCTTCCGTTAGCTGAGAGAATAGTAAGAGCAGGGGGACCGCATCACACATAAACAATTACACAATACAAACCCGTGAACACGACACACAATATAGGCTACACATATATTTCAAACAATAAGCATATCAAATCAAGTGAATGGATCCGGGGGCCAGTCGTAAGCGTCCACTGTGCTGTAGGCCTCCCGGATTTTGACTTATAAAACCGCCTGGTGATTAATTAATTATATAAAACAATATTCAACGTAATATGTTATTTGTAGGTAATTGTTTAATTGTATAGGTACCATAGAGGTGTGCTTTATTTGAAGTACTAGTAGACTAACATCAAAAGATGACGTCACATCTGTATTTTTATTGAAGACCACATAAAATTATTAGGCTTACATACTGGCTACCGGATACTTGTTTTAAAAAATTCCGCTTTTCAAAAGTATATAATGCTAATGATTAAATTTCAATAACTATTACTAACATTATACCATCCGACTGTCAATAATATAGTTTTTTTTTGGTTTTTTTTTTTTTTTAACTCTTGAGTCTTGTCGGAGAGGTACATATAGGCCTAATTAGACCCGCCTTGTATTTTAATTAATATAACTTTAGTTTCTAGTTGTATTTTAATTAATATAACTTTTTTTTCTAGTTTCGCATCATTTAACTCCCAGTTAATGTGAAAAGAACAAATAATTTATGTCTTTACTGTCATGTTTTATGATAACTAATCTATTGGATTTTAATATTGACAGCGGACAGGTAGAGACTCAATGAATAACCCAATAGAGTAGTAATTTTAGCCGAGACGATAAATACTGACGTCTTATGACGTCAACTTCGGCTATACCCGGAACCACACCCTCTGTCCGTTCGATTGGAGAAATTTTGGTGGTGGAAATTACACTGGAGAAATTCTGATTGTTGAAAATGCAAAAATGAAAAAGTAGAGTGAATTTGCAAAGGCGAAAAGTAGAAAGTGAAAAAACATAACTAGATTTTTTTTTTGGTTTGTTTTGATACTAATATAGTGATTTTGTGTTATGTGGTAATTACAAGTGAAAAATCTCGAAAATGAACATTTTTACCATTTTGACTATGATAAATTGTCAATTTTAACTATTATATTTTCTCTTAATATGGCAACGATTCGGCTCTATAGTAAAGACGTCAAACTTATTCCGTTTTAAAATGTCCGGCAAAGCCGGCTTTTAACGCTTCGATTTAAAAGAGGTTATTGTACCCGTGTTAGGTAGAATTATATATAGTTGGTTGTGGCATTTGTTTTGAAGAACAAAATTGACAGTTTTGCTAATGAAGTAGGTTTAATTAACACCTACATCTGCCAGAAAGAACTTTATGATTATCTGATCGAGACACGATGCCGATGGGTCGAGAGTAGCTAGTACGAGAATGTAGCTAAAAACGTTGAGATAGACCTACTGATGTTCGAAACACGGGGGGTTGAAAGATGAGGTTTAATTCTTATCTAGATCAAGGGAGGGGGGTTTCTTATCTAATGTCTCCCCACCGTCTGTTTACATATTTATGAATACAGATTGATTGAAAGCTGGTTCGGGCCTGGTCAAACTGCACGCAGCGATCCATCTACGTCATACTTCGAGAATAATGATCGCTGCCCTAGTTAGCCTCCATTTAAAACGCTCACGTGATCATTTTGGGGCGGGACTTATCGACTGGACTACAGCTGAAATCTTGCACAATAGTAGGGGTCAAACTCCCAGATCCGTGACCAATTTCCGGGGAGGAAGGTTTGACGATTGATTCTGGTAGGGGGGGGGGGGGCTGTTCTGAGGATTTGTGCCGAAATAGCACAGAGACTTATAGTTGGGTGCAAATGTCATCAAGCTGTTCTTGTAATATGTCATTTTTATAGTTTCCAGGGCCGCTGAATCCATTAAGAACACTCCTAAGCCATTTTGATGCACATTTGCTAGAGCGGGTTATCTAAATCATGCACGAGGCTTGTCTGCTGATCTGTTACCTTCCATTGAAACAAGAATCAGATAATATACATTCTTAGATAAATTCAACACTCAGACCATGATCACCCTCTATAGTTCATTGTATATCAATTAGACCATCAAAAATGAACTAAGCATCCATGAAAACCCTAAAAACGATATGTTACAAGCCCATATTTGCCTTACCAGAATATATGACATTATTTTCCGGGTTTTTTCCCCACCATTTCCGCCATATTGGGACGAACGCCAAAGGAAAACACGAGTCATCTCTCTATATAACTGATGTGACGAGTGATAACGGATATACGGGCGAATTTCTGCTCACTGATACTTCATTCGAAGACCAAAAGTTGTTGTATGAGATTGTGAGAGGATATCTGACAATTCATAAAAAGAATTGACTGCCACTAGATAAGTGAACACGGAAGAAAAACAGAAAAAGTCCGTGCATTACCATGTTTTTATAAGATATAGAATGAATATAAAAAAGGGAATGTACGGACTATTTCTATTTTTCTCGTGTTCTCTTATCTAATGACATTCAATTACTTTATTGAATTGTCAGGTCAACTTTCGGTCTTCGAAGAAATTATTAGTGAGCAGAAATTCGCCCGTATATCCGTTATCACTGTCACATCAGTCAGTTATATAGAGAGATGACTCGTGTTTTCTTTTGGCTTTCGTCACTTCCGACTCAGGAAACCTGTATTACTCGATCGTAGCAATGATCTCTGTGTTAAAATTATATTTGGAATGTGTTTAACCAGCTCTATATGTGATAATGACTGGCACCAATATAGTCCTTTAATCATCTCATTACTAATACTTTCGTATTTACAATATTTAGATCCTGAGGGACAACAATAAGCTCCGCCCCTTTTCGTATAACGAGGGCTACGATATAGCATTCTCCCATTTAGTAATCGAGTCTATGCGGACGAACCTTGTAACACGAGACTACTGGAAGCGACCAGAAGTGGGAGGCGTGTTATTTGTTTTGCAGGAGAGCGCACGGGTTTCAAAATAAGAAAGTGAGTACGGTGCCGTAGTCGTAATGTGTCAATTTATTGAAGTCTAATTATTTAGTCATGCAAATAAACGTACCCAGGCACGAGAAACAGCAATAAAGTGAGTCGTATATATTTGGTATCCACCGCTGCTCAAAAGTAAAAGAGTCAACCTCCTTCAGACTTCACACGAAACGTCATAATATAAAGCTAGTTACACGTCAAAGTAGGAAATGAACTTATTTTTCGAGGGCGTAATATACAGTAAATGCCTAGAATAACTAAATACAAGAAAGTTATTATTCGATATGTTACAATAATTACACACTGTTGACAAAATAGGCAGTGTATATTTAATTAAACATGATCATGATGATATACATGTAGGCCAAATGTTATTCGGGCAGAAAAGCAGTTAATAGGCTACTAGCCTATATTGTGAATTAATATATTCCTAATGTTCATGCTGAACACTGTACATAATACTATTGTGATAAATATTTTTATTTTTAAAGTAGCTAAGTCTCTAACTCAATATCATCCAAAATCTTCGACTTTGAAAACATGAATTATTTGTCAATTTTAATCAACATTGTGATTGATGTTGTGATCTTACCGAGAAGAGATGGGCTTCTGATATCCAATATTTAAAGGAGCTTAATCGCTAACATGTGGGACCTAGAAATTGACAAAACTGGGTCGCAACCAGGGATCTTAATTGGCTGTTTTTTGTCGGCTTTAGCCGATTGATCTTTAATCTAGTCGATTGGTAAAACAATGAACCGGCCACTAAGGTATCACAAATCAATCTACTTTCGGCCGATTTACAAAGAATTAATTATCAGGCCGATTGTTAAAACAATGAACTGGCCACTAATGGTATTATAAATCGATCGACTTTCGGCCGATTACACAGAGTTAATCATTACTCGTCGATTAAGAAACCCATCAAAGAGTCAATCATTACAATGAATACCTTCGGCTTATTTCATATATAAACAACTTAATTGAGGTGATCATGCCAAGTACTTGAACACCTCGCAGAATGTCACCAGGAAACTTAAACGAGATTTAACTGAAGATAGTGATGGCGGCGTTGACCTTGAACTTCAAGCATGCACGTCGTCAATGGAAGTTCCAAAAGCCGGAGATCCTCCCACGTGGAATATAGGTCAACCAAATTATCGGCAATAAAAGACCGTATTAATCTGACGATCATTCCTGCGCAGCAAAGAAAGACGATGACAGAACAAAGAGTTTAATTCCCAAATCTATAGAAATTGTTTCAAACCGGGCGTTAATCTGAAATGCGTATTCCATAGCAAAAAGAAACATTGCCATCGAAAATTATGAACAATAATTGAACGATTTGACAGAACAGCAGGATCATGAAATGACCAAAAAACTATATCGTGATTTTAATTCTTGTGGTGAATTTAATTCTTTAATATCCAGTGAAATTGAGGAAGAGATCCTCTCAGATATCCGAACTAGTCCTGCTGCATTAAATCCCGACAATTGTATACCGGTAATGCTAAAAATAAACTAATCGGAATCACGACAATTGGCCATGTGACCTTTCGCCCGTACAGCATATTTACGAGTTCCGACTATACACGGAAACCGATTTGTGCTACTTTGTTATTTATATACTTATATACTTTATTTATATATATATATTAACATGTGCTTACGAATAAAATAATTTAAAAAAACATTTGTATGTAGCCTACTTGTAGTTCTACATGTAGATTACAAAATCGTATATAAATGAGTTGATACGACTGGGAATCTCGCGAAAATCTTGTCTTGTCTTAGCATAATGGCGTCATTAAGCGACGAAGAGACGCTGGCTATTATTGCCCTACATTTGATAAATAAGAACAAAAATAAAAAGAGAAAACCCAAATCCGTCTGGGTTAGACAGTGGATACTTAGCATAATAGCGTCACCAAGCGACGAAGAGACGCTGGCTATTATTGCCCTACATTTGATAAATAAGAACAAAAATAAAAAGAGAAAACCCAAATCCGTCTGGGTTAGACAGTGAATACTGCGTAGACCCACTGCCGGTGCGTAGAGCTCCCTATTACGTGAACTTGAAGAAGACCCTCTCAGTTTGAAAAACTTTCTGAGAATGGATGCGGAAAATTTCCATTTTTTGTTGGGATTAATTCAAGACAAAATAGCTCGGCCTCAGCTCTCCTGCATCTGCATGGCGATCATCGCCAATGCAGCCTGCCGCACGTCTCTCTTGGAATAAGTCTTATTACTCACATCCCATAAGCAAGGTTTGCTGAGCGGCTCTTGATGGGTGCGCTTTGCATCCATGTTTACCAACAACAAAGGGAGAGAACTCATGTTTGTACTAATACTCGACGTCTCTGATTGGTCAAGTTCATACGATCTGTTGACTGAAATAGGGAAGTTTCTATTTCGCTCAACTCGCTTTCAACTGGGTGGGAGCTTGTAAAAGTTGGTACGACTAGGGTGTTCTTACGCCACATCTCGGGTCGATACTACAAGTAGTTACTACAAGTCGCACCGTGAGAATGGGCCTTTACTAATTTATAACTTCCGTTTAGTTGGATGAAACCAAAAGTAGGAATATGCAATGCAAGTTGCTGAAATAATATGAATATAAATGTCGATATTATACTATAGCGATGTACAATGTATGAATGCAAGTATGCAATTACTTAGGTCTTTTATACGGACTTTCTTCTATTATTATCCCAAATACATTATGCAATTAGTGAATTATGCAATTACTGACGTGAATAGAGTATGCATAAACTAACATGTTTGTTGTTGAAAAGACGACTATCCATTAGGTCTAACCGTGGCCGGTTCATTTCAAAATGGATTAAGAACCCTGGTCGCAATGCATATAATACTGTAATATGAATGTATATAAACTGATTTACATTCAATGGTTTCCGTTTTTACTCCAATTTCAAATCAGTTATGTTCGGCGAAATAAGCCAGCAGTCAACGGTGACGCCATATTCATATAGGGAGAGTATGCGCAATAAATACAATGTAGACTAGAATAACCAGACGCTAAAAATTTTCATTCGATTGAGACTTCTGACATATTTCGCCGAACGTAACTGATTTGAAATTAGAGTAAAAATGGAAACGATTGAATGTAAATCAGTTTATATATATTCCTATTACATTATTATATGCGTTACGACCCATTTGTGTCAATTTCTAGGTTCAAAATATGAGCGATTTAGCTCCTCTAAACAGCCACTTTCTGTAAGATTCAGGCAAGACACTGTTGTGACCACCTTCAAATTCTCTAATTTTTATACCCCCACATTTTCATGTGGACATATAATGTCGTCTCCCCTGTCCGTCCATCGCCCCTGTCCGTCCGTCCACAATTTTTTGTGAGCAGTCTACAGGTCACAATTTTTATCCGATTTCAATGAAACTTGAAATATAGTTTTATCACCCTAAGATCTCGGTTCCTTTCGATATTGGCATGTATCGGACTGTACATGTAACTTCATGGATTATGGCCCCTGATTGTACGAAAAATCACGTTTTTAGCTTGTGAACACTGTAGAGGTCACAATTTTTATCCGATTTGGTTTAAACTTGAAATGTATGCGTATAACCCAAAGATCTCGGTTCCTTTCAATATTCGCGCATATCGAATGTAACTGCCTGAATTATGGCCCCTGATAGTACGAAAAATCGCGTTTTTAGCTTGTGGACCCTATAGAGGTCATAATTTTTATCCGATTTAAAAAAACGTATTATTATATCACCGTTACACCATAAGGCACCATAAGGACGACTGAGTTCGATTTTCGTGAGAATCGGCCTAAAATTGACAGACAAAATGGCCGCCGTTCGTTCTCAAATAGCGTAAAAATATGGTATATCAAGGTTGTGGACCCTATAAAGGTCACAATTTTTATCCAATTTTGTTGAAACTTGAAATGTTAGTTTATAACCCAAAGATCTCGGTTCCTGTAATATAAAGGTCACAATTTTTATCCAATTTTGTTGAAACTTAAAATGTTAGTTTATAACCCAAAGATTTCGGTTCCTTTCGATATTTGCGCATATCGAATTGTAATTTCCTGAATTATGGCCCTTGATTGTAGGAAAAATCACTTTCTTTTTAGCTTGTTCTCTATCCATCTCTCGAAAATGTGGGCGTATTCAGCCTGGCAGCCGCTGGTTATCCGATTTTGTTGAAACTTGAAATGTAAGTTTATAACCCATAGATCTCAGTTCCTTTCGATATTTGCGCATATCGGACCGTAACTTACTGAATTATGGCCCCTGATTTTACGAAAAATCGCATTTTTAGGTTGTGGACCCTATAGAGGTCATAATTTTTATTCGATTTAAAAAAAAACGCATTATTATATCACCGTTAAACCCTAAGGATGGCTGAATTTGAATTTCGTGAAAATCGACCCAAAATTGACAGACAAAATGGCCGCCCTTCGTTCTTAAATAGTGTAAAAATATGGTATATCAAGGTTGTGGACCCTATAGTGGTCACAATTTTAATCCGATGTTGTTGAAACTTGAAATGTAAGTTTATAACCCAAAGATCTCGGTTCCTTTCAATATTTGCGCATTATCAAATTGTAATTTCCTGAATTATGGCCCTTGATTGTAGGAAAAATCACTTTCTTTTTAGCTTTTTCTCTATCCATCTCTCGAAAATGTGGGCGTATCCTGCCTGGCAGCCGCTGGACGGCTGAGTTCGAATTTCGTAAAAATCGGCCCAAAACTGAAAGACAAAATGCGCCGTTCGTTCTCAAATAGCATAAAAATATGGTATATCAAGGTTGTGGACCCTATAGAGGTCACAATTTTTATCTGATTTTGTTGAAACTTGAAATGTAACTTTATAACCCAAAGATCTTGGTTCCTTTTGATATTCGTGCATATCGGACCATAACTTCCTGAATTATGGCCCCTGATTGTACGAAAAATCGCGTTTTTAGCTTGTGGACCCTATAGAGGTCATAATTTTTTATCCGATTTAAAAAAAAACGTATTATTTTATCACCGTTACCATAGCGTAAAAATATGGTATATCAAGGTTGTGGACCCTATAGAGGTCACAATTTTTATCCGATTTTGTTGAAACTTGAAATGTAAGTTTATAACCCAAAGATCTCGGTTCCTTTCAATATTTGCACATTATCAAATTGTAATTTCCTGAATTATGGCCCTTGATTGTAAGAAAAATCACTTTCTTTTTAGCTTTTTCTCTATCCATCTCTCGAAAATGTGGGCGTATCCTGCCTGGCAGCCGCTGGTTCAACATACTACAATCACAATTCTAAAAAAAAAAAATTGCTATTTTTGTTGGTTGCCGAGATATGGGAGCTTGAAAATTGACCCAAATTTTCAAAAACAGCTTTTGGAGAACTTTAAAGTAGCTAAGTCTCTAACTCAGTATCGTCCAAAATCTTCAACATTGAAAACACAAATTATTTGTCAATTTAAATCAACATTGATGTTGTGATCTTACCGGGAAAAGATGGACTTCTGATATCCAATATTTAAGACAAAATAAACATTTTATGATTGGTACATGAATCGTGTACCATGATGCGTTTCAGTGCTATTTGTAATAAGGGACTCGAAAAACAAGGCAAGGCAAATTCTACAAGTTATGTCAAACGTTGACGTCATATTCTTTTCTGGAGAAGCATGCGCAATAAATATTAGCGGTGTAGACTGGAATGTTCTGCCGGAAAGCACATGTAATGCACCAGTTTAAACCATTTATTCAGGAATAAATATGCATGGTGAAAAGCTACAAAAGAAATAAAAAAGCAAATTAAGTTTCAATTTCTTTGATGTACAAAATTAATGTAATTATGTCCAGAAGGTGTTTCCATACATTTTTTACATGCAAGCGAAAGGATAACTGTAAATCATTCGGAAATGACAAATACAATAAATATCAAAGAGATAATGACTTGCAAAGTTACAGGATACGAACAATGTACATATATAGGGCGTAACCACCGTGTCAAACTGATTGGCACCTAATTCTTCTTCAGTGAGAAATACGACGTGGAAATATCGGAATGTTGACAATTGCAAAAACAATGAATTTTGGCCTGACAACAAACGGTACAAGGTAAAAAAAACGTTTAGTAAATAAGTATTGAAATATAAAATACATTTATAATTCACAAATAAAGGGTTCTTACATTGTGGCCAGCCAAGCTAATGGAAAACCGAAAAACCAGGCGACTTTGTAGACAGAAACACGGCGAACTGTAACTAAGGACCGTAACTCTCCTCTTATCAGTACGGAAGCTGGATGGAGACAAAATGATTAATATATTGTAAGATTATAACCATTGAATTTATAAACAGAAATTAAATGAATTATTTGAATATAAATGTCCACACAGTTCCTGTACATTCCCTGCCTGATATCAAGAAATTGATATCACTATTGTCATTTCTCAAGTCGATCCCGACACAAGAAGAACATGTTCAGAGATTGGTCTCACATATACTGTTGGTTTGTTTTCCTTTATAATAGGAACTTCAGTTTTACATACTTTTCCATCATCACTTTCGAAGGTTCGAAGGACTAATCCAAGTAGCCATTCTTTTCGCACAACAGTTTTGTCTCAAAGTAAAACAACATCACCCGTTTTGATATTTGGCACATTTGTTTGCCACTTCTCCGGGACTGAAGATTATTCAAATACTCCTTGCACCACCGTGACCAAAACATGTCTGACAGAACTATGACGCGTTTCCATTCATTGCGAAGGAGATCTGTTTTGTCCACTTCTACCTTATGATCAATACTGGGTACAGAACTTGTCTTTTGAGTAAGAAGAACTGCTGGTGACAACACAAATGGATTATCTGGGTCCGTGGAAACCGGAACAATAGGACGGTGATTCACAATGCTAGCTACTTCTGCCAGGAAAGTAACCAACACATCGTGTGTAAGCAGTCTGGTATTTGATTCCATAAACATTGAGTCCAAAATCCTTCTTGTTACCCCGATTAAACGTTCCCAAGCCCCTCCCATGTGGGAAGCGTGAGGGGGGTTGAAAATCCAAACAGTTCTCGATTTGTTCATGTAGTCTCTAACTTTTCCGTCTTCTACAATGTCATTTATTATGACTAATCAACTGAAATATGCATATCAATGAAAACAAATCTTTAACAAAGAATACTACATATATAAACACTAATAATACAAAATGACATCATATTTCAGTCTTAAAACTGTGGGTTGGGCTTAAGATTTAACAAATAAATGGCCAATGAATACAAGTTTCGTAAACAAACAATACTATATGTATAAACACTAATAATAGTGATACAAATGAAAAAACATATCACAAATAAATGGCACATTAAACAGGCCAAAAGCCATATTAACCAAGCTGTACTGTAAGAATTAAGTGCAAGGTGGAGCAGGGGAGGTGGAGGGTTATCAACGGAAATATCGTGGATCAAACACAATACGTCCTGTCTGTGGCACTGCCAATTCTGTTGTGATGGAAAGAGCGGGAAAAAACAACGCAGGAACCCAGCTCATTTACATACTCAGGAATGTATAAGAAATAGACGAGGTATATATCAAGTGTAACAAACCTGGATGAGGACTGTAACACAAAAATCATTATTGACAATAATGTTTATTTGTGTCTCCATTCAAAACTAAGCCCATCCCCCAATAGCCGAGCGAAGAACAAGCTAACAAAAGAACGGATGGTGTACAATGTCATTTATTATGACTAATCAACTGAAATATGCATATCAATGAAAACAAATCTTTAACAAAGAATACTACATATATAAACACTAATAATACAAAATGACATCATATTTCAGTCTTAAAACTGTGGGTTGCGCTTAAGATTTAACAAATAAATGGCCAAACACGTCACAAATTGTGATGTCGTGCCCAAACTTGCAAAGCCTTCAACCTTTTCACCAACAGCCAGTATGTTAAGGAAATATTATAGGAGGTGGTACTTTAAGTTTGTGGTAATTAGTAATTTTATAGTTAATGATAAGATTGTTGTTTTAATCTAACAAATATATAATCATTTGTTTGACATTTTATCCGCATGTTATCAAATGAACCTTTGGATATTTTACTATGTCCCTTTATTGACATTTAATCTTTAGAATACATAAACATATATTATAGTTTGTGGTGTAACTATTGTTAGTCTCACATTTTATAATTCATGTAGTTTAAAGTGTATAATTCCAATATTGTATAAAAATGGATTATTTTGTTATGAAACAACCTGATTCAGATTTGCTTATTCCTGACAGGGAACATGGACCAACAAAGCTGCTTGATGTACATGTAGGACAAATTTACCAAACTATTGAAGGCAAATTAGGCACCATTAAAAACAAAACAAACATGCAATCAGGTAATAAGTTTTTATATTTTATTTTTGTATTACTAAATTTAGTTATCACAACCTAGAGCAAAGTGCAACAATTGTTTGGACTTAAATTTTCAGAAGCCAAAGAGTCTGGGTTTGTTTATAAACTTGGGGCCATTGCCTACCAGCAATCTGAGGAATTCACAGACTAGTGGTTTAAATACAAAAGTTTCATGGAATTTGTTAGCTATGTGAACTTCTCAAATGAAACATGGTATTGACTCTTGCTTGAGTTTTGATCATTAGGATTTAGACTTATAGTAGCTAAGTCATCCAAAATCTTCGACATTGAAAACACGAATTATTTGTCAATTTAAATCAACATTGATGTTGTGATCTTACGGAGAAAAGATGGGCTTCTGATATCCAATAATTAAGACAAAATAAACATTTTACCGTTGGTACACGAATCGTATACCATGGTGCATTTCAGCGCCATTTTTAACAAGAGACGCGTAGAAAGAGGCTAGATATATTCCACAAGTCATGTAAAACGGTAACATCATATTCTTATCTGGAGAGCATGCGCAATAAATACTATCGGTATAGAGTGGAATAACCAGACGATATAACTGATTAGAAATTGCAGTAAAAACAGAAACAATTGAATGTAAATCAGTTTATATACATTCACATTACTTTATTATATGCGTTGCGACCCATTTGTGTCAATTTCTAGATCCAAAATATTAGCGATTTAGCTCCTTTAATTAGAATGTACATTTATTCTCCTTTTATTAGAATGTACATTTATTTCCTGATGAATTTTCAGAATTTTTTTTTTTTTTTTTTATAGAACCAATTTCCTGAAGAATTCTCAGGTTTTTTTAAAACTTTTTATAGAACCAATTGTAATTAATCTTTTAGATAGACAATTTTACTGTGTCATTTGCACTGATATAATATATGAATGCAAGTTGATGAACATGTTATTCATGCTACTATGGTGTGTTTTTTTTTAAAGGAAATAAACAGTGGGTTCACCCATCAGAAGCTTTAATAAGAGGACATGTCTTATATAATGTAAAAGTGAGTGGTTTTACTATTATCTATTTCTATCAACTATTACAGCCGTAAAAAATCTATTGTTTCTATTGTTGACGATTCTGAATAGCAGTAATATTTAGCTTTTTATACGCCCACATAGAAATGTGGACGTATATTGCCGTCGCCCCCGTCTGTCGGTACGTACGTCCGTCCATCGTCCACAATTTCTTGTGAACACTACAACACCAAAAGTAATCATCCAGTATTTTAAAATTGATATATGTTGTTTACATTAGTGAGATGAAGAATCCTATTGAATTTCAGCAATTTCCGTTTATTACGTCTAGAGTTATGGCCCTTGTTTCACTTTATTGAACCTTGTGAACGCTCTAACGCCAAAAGTTATATCATCCGATCTTTCTGAAATTTAAATGCATTATTTAAATTAGTGAAACGAAGAAGCCTATTAAATTTCAGCAATTTCTGTTTATTAGGTCTAGAGTTATGGCCCTTGTTTCACTTTATTGTACCTTGTGAACGCTCTAACATCAAAAGTTATCTGCAGATCTGTATGAAATTTGCATGCGTCATTTAAATTAGTAAAGTGAAGAATTCTATTGAATTTTAGCAATTTCCGTTTATTACTTCTAGAGTTATGGCCCTCGTTTCACTTTGTTCAACCTTGTTAATGCTCGATTGATGAATGTTATCATCCGATATGTATGAAATTAATATGTATCATTTAAATTTGTGAAACAGAGGTCTATTGAATTTCAGCAATTTCCGTCAATAATTTCTAGAGTTATGGCGGTTGTGAACCTTGTGAACGTTTGAATGACAAAAGTTATCATGTGATCTGTATGAAATTTAGATGCATTATTTAAATTAGTAAAACGAAAAAGCCTGTCAAATTTCAACAATTTCTGTAGATTACTTCCAGAGTTGAGACCCTTGTTTCAGTTCCAAACACACTTTTTTCCTCAAAAAAGGATCTAGCACAGGCAGTGGATTTACGTCTAGAATTGAAAGGGTTAAAACAATTGTTGAGTTGCCTAACGTGCGTGTTTCTAAATTCAATTTCTTGTTCCAGCTTTCTGTTATGTTTTTTAAAAAAGTAGTCTTGATTATCCTGGCCTGTGAATCAGACGTAGAATGGTCAGTAGATTGGTTAAAAGAGACTAATTTCAAAACAAGGGCACATAACCTATTTTTTATACGCCCACATTTTCATTTGGACGTATGTTGTCGTTGCCCCTGTCCGTCCGTCCGTCCGTCCACAATTGTTTGTGAACAGTCTAGAGGTCACAATTTTTATCCGATTTCAATGAAACTTGAAATATAGGTTTATCACCCTAAGATCTTGGTTCCTCTCGATATTGGCATGTATCGGACTGTAACTTCATTGATTATGGCCCTTGATTGTACGAAAAATCACGTTTTTAGCTTGTGAACACTGTAGAGGTCACAATCTTTATCCGATTTGGTTTAAACTTGAAATATATGTTTATAGCCCACAGATCTCGGTTTCTTTTGATATTCGTGTATCGGACCATAACTTCTTGAATTATGGCCCCTGACTGTACGAAAAATCGCGTTTTTAGCTTGTGGACCCTATAAAGGTCATGATTTTTATCCGATTTAAAAAAATGTTTTAGTATATCACCATTACACCCTAAGGATGGCTGAGTTTGAATTTCGTGAAAATCTTACCAAAACTGACTGACAAAATGGCTGCCCATCATTCTCAAATAGCATAAAAATATGGTATATCAAGGTTGTGGACCCTATAGAGGTCACAATTGTTATCCGATTTTGTTGAAACTTGAAATGTAAGTTTATAACCCAAAGATCTCGGTTTCTTTCGATATATTCGCGCATATCGGACCGTAACTTCCTGAATTATGGCCCCTGATTGTACGAAAAATATTGTTTTTAGCTTGTGGACCCTATAGAGGTAATAATTTTTATCCGATTTAAAAAAAACGTTTTATATCACCTTTAAACCCTAACTATGGTTGAGTTCGATTTTCGTGAAAATCGGCCCAAAACTGATAGACAAAATGACCGCCCCTCGTTCTCAAATAGATAAAAAATATGGTATATCAAGGTTGTGGACCCTCTAGAGGTCACAATTTTCTTCTGATTTTGATGAAACTTGAAATATAAGTTTATAAGCCAAAGATCTTGGTTTATTTTGATATTTTTGCATATCCAATTGTAACTTCCTGAATTATGGCCCTTGATTGTACGAAAAATCACGTTTTTAGCTTGTGGACCCTATAGCGGTCAAAACTGTTATCCTATTTGAAAAAACGTTTGAATATATCACATTACACCCTAAGGATGTATGAGTTAGAATTTTGTAAAAATGGAACGAAAACTGACAGACAAAATAGCATAAAAATATGGTATATCATTGTTGTTGACCCTCTAAAGGTCCCAACTTTATTTTGATTTTGATGAAACTTGAAATGTAAGTTTATTACCCAAAGATCTTGGTTCCCTTCGATATTCGCGCATATCGGATAGTAACTTCCTGAATTATGGCCTCTGATTGTACGTAAAATCGCGTTTTTAGCTTGAGATCCCTCTAGAGGTCACAATTTTTATCTGATTTAAAAAAAATGTGTGAATATATCACCATTACCCACTAAGATCTTGGATCCTTTCGATAATCGTGGATACCTGAACTTAACTTCCTGGATTACGGCCCCTGATTGTTTGAAAAATGGCATTTTTAGCTTGCGGATTCTCTAGAGGTCACAATTATTTTTTCCGATTTTAAAAACCGTTTAAATATTTCACCATTCCACCATAATGAAGGTTGAATTCGAATTTTGTGAAAATCGAAATGGAACTGCCCAACAAAATGGCCGCTCTTTGTACCCAAATTGTGTAAAACTATGCAATACAAAGGTTGTCGACCCTCTAGAGGTCACAATCTTTATCCGATTCTGATGAAACTTAAAATATATCTTTATATCCCAAAGATCTCAGTCCCTTTTGATATTTGCGCATTTCAGACCATAAGTTTCTGGATTATTGCCCCTGATTGTACAAAAAAATCCTGTTTGTTTTTAGCTTGTTCTCTATCCATCTCTTTCAAAATGTGGGCGTATCCTGCCTGGCATCCGCTGGTTACTCACAAATGCCCGGATGGTATGGCCGACACTCGTAACCATCTTTCAGTGTATTTTTTGGGGATGGTTAAATGGTCATAGCTTATTAAGTACAACATGACCGTTTATTTAGTGACTATAAATGTGCGAAACTGATTTAAGGCTTGGTGTATATATAAATATTGTGGTGTAATTGTCAAGATATTTGGAGATATTTATTTATGGTGGGTCACCCTATCTAAGGAGTTATCGCTTTACATGAATTTGATTGGTCAAAATGATGTATCACTATGCCGTAATGTACTCAGGTTCAGTAAAAGTGAAATCTATCGCAAAGAATTATATTTATTTATTTGTGCATGGAAGAAAGGATTGGATGATAAATAAAACCCCGAATATTTGCTACAACCACCAAGATTGGCACCCACGGCCGCTACACCCAGTCTCGAGTCTAAGGCTTCAGCGCTAGTCGCGACGACCCTCCTACAATGGGGTGTCTTACATTCAGTAACATAAACATTTTTTGGGTTTTGGTAATAGAAGGATACCGCGTCTTAAAGTTAGCAACTGAAACACAAGGTGTCTTACAGTAACAGATACAAGGTACGTCATAAATCAGATACATATCGTGTATAGCTGTCAGTAACAGATACACGAGGTGTCTTATCAATATATACATGCCGTGTCTTAAAGTTAGCAACTGATACACAAGGTGTCTTACAGTAACAGATAAAGGTGCGTCATAAGTTAGATACATATCGTGTATAGCTGTCAGTAACAGATACACGTGTCTCCCAAGTAACATACAGTATCATATAAACATGATGGCTTACATAGGGCATCTTAGATAAGTAATAGATACGTGTTGTGTATAGCCGTCGCCCGTCAGTAACAGATACACGGGTGGTCTTACAATCAGTAGCATAAACATTAGATGCCTTGTGTCAAAACCAGTAACAGATACATGTGGTGTCTTACAGGAACATATACATGTGATTATGTCTTACAGTCATTAATAGATACATGATTGTATAACTTTTGGTACCTGTTGTTTTGTAAGGCATAATTGTTACAAAAGTAGTCAGTAACGACTGCCAACAGTATCTTAGAAATCTTAACAAAATACATATCATGTCACAGTTACAGTCTGTAGCAGATGCAGACATGTTTCGAACATCATATTTATGAATAGATGCACAGTAGACCTAGGTATGCCCCTTTTTTTACACGTCCTCTATTTGACAGGTTCCTACATTTTAATTTATAACATTCCGATATAATTTGTAAACAAAAATAGAGGATTCTGTGGTCTAAGGGGAGACAACACCTTGTTGCACTCAATTAGAATGTATTGTACCAACACCAATAACTCAAGCAAAAATTTTAAATTAATACACATCACGACCCCCTTTTACAAAATACAATCTATTATTAGAAGTGTGTTTAAGTCCTCGATCCATAGGTTCATGCTTATATGACCAAACACACTTGCATCAAGTGTTGGTCACCATAATCGTTGGCAGTTAATGTAAAGTATGTGCCACGTTCCAAACTAAGTGATTGATACAGGGTGTTTCTTATTGTCATTAAGAAACATTTCTGTTTATGTTATAGTCAGCGCTTTTAAATTATGTACCCAAATTCAAAGGTCCTTGTTAATGGGGACCAACTCCTAATGCATGTGTGTGATCAAGGTCTATCATATTATGCCGTCGCCCCTGTCCGTCCGGACGTCCGACCGTCCGTCCATCCGTCCGTCCACAATTGTTTGTGGACTCTCTACAGGTCACAATTCTTATCTGATTTCGACGAAACATGAAATATAGGTTTATCCCCAAAAGATCTCGGCTGTTTTCGATATTGGCATGTATCGGATCGAAACTTCATGGATTATGGCCCCTGTTTGTACGAAAAATCACGTTT